TTTTAGATAGAAATTGTCTTCTATTGACTGAATTGCCTAGATGTTTAAATCTTTGGACAGGAGCAGCCATGCAGCCAGACTTGCTTGATACATCCTTATGCATGAACTGCTCATTCTAGGCATGATTAAGGCTCTAATAATACTTTTTCAATCTCTAGAGTCTATGAGGTCCTGACTAAAGACGGTAAGAGCCAAGTGTGGTGGCTTACATCTGAAATCCCAGACCTCTGGGAAGCTAAGGCAGAAAGACTGCAACTTTGAACCCAGTCTGGGCAACTTAGCAATTTAGCCAAACCCTGCCTCAAAATAAAAAATGCAGAAAAATGAAGGTAGCTCAGCACAAAGGCCCCTGGTTTAATCCCTAGTACTGAAAAATATATATATATATATAGGTGAGGACATACAAACATATAAAGAGGTTTAGTTGCCGCCCAAGGTCATCTGCGTATAAATGAAAGTCCATAAGTCTTCATGGTGGAGAGATCATGTTCTTGGCTACTATACTTGTTTTATTCTTTATATAGGTTTCACACAAGATAGTTCCTGAGCAAAACCATGGCCTAAGAAGAACTGCCAGGTCTAAAAGGCAAGATATTCAATGAGAAGAGAAATTAATTTAAAATATTCTTTCTCCTCCCTGTCTCTGGGCCAGTGTTTTCAACTGAGGTAAGTGAAGACCCATGGAAAGTCCTTCCAGTCCAAGGACTACCCTAAAGGCAGCTGGCCCCCATTCCTCAAGGTCCTGATGTAGACAAGACTTCAGGTTCGCACTGTCCGTCCTCAGCTGTTTGATCCTCAGGTGTTGCTCTGCTCATTCTCTTTTTTAATCCAGTGAAGGAAAATTGCTTATACTCCATGACTAGTACTGAGTCCTGTTTCTACTTTAGAGGCCTCAAAAGATGAAATTACTTTTCAGGCTTTCTATTCAGACAGATTTTTAATAGAAGTAGAGGTGAGCACTCTTTTACAAGACTTTTTCATACTTATTGTTTATTCAGGCTTTCCCTTCATGCTGTCTCTCCCCTCTCCTCCCTCTCTTACTGATTCTCCTTAGAGTTTAGTAAGGATTGAATTCCATGATCTTTCCTGTATTGTCCACATCCACAAGATGTGAAACTTTTAGTACATTTTCCTAAGTTATATTTTTCTAGGAATCTTACATAAATTTTCTAATTTATTGTAATAAAACTATTTAATTTTTTGTGTTCATGTCTATAGCACTTTATAACATCAAACTTCAGAAATTCTCTGACATTTAAATGCCAAGAGAATGAGTACTTTATTCAAAGTGTTGCCAAAGGGAAAGTTCTCACAGGAAATGTTTCCCCAAGCATGTGCAGTTTTGTACAAGAAAGAAAAAAAAAAAACAAAAAACAACAAAAAAAAAACCCCAGAACAATGCCCATTGCAATGTGGTGAGCTTTAAGGGGTTAGATAATGCAATCTTACCAAAATGAGCTGTTTCTTTGTGATTTGGCTTATCTTGATCTGTTAAATGCTATTCTTAGAAATGTTGACTCAAGAAATTAAGAGTTAAGTGGGTTATTCTTTCAGCACTAGAGTGAGGTTAGTATAAGGTTCAGAGAAGAAAATTTTAACATTGCTCCTACTTTTGACTTTTTTTTTCATAATCAGTATCACTAGAGGCCTCTCAAGTTTTGTAGTGTTCCAAAACAAAAGAACAAACCACAGATTTGTTAACCCTCCATTTTATAGTTTTTATTTCATTAATTTCTGCTCTTAATTATGTCCTTTAACTTTGTGAGGATTTGTTTTGTCTCAACTTCTTGAAATGGTGCTTAGGAAATTATCAGATCTTTTGATTTTCTAAAATTTTTTAGGCTATAAATTTCTAAGCACTGTTCCCATGAAGAATGTAATCATTATGTACTGTGAATATGTACCAATAGAAATAAAGCTTGGGGAAAAAAAGCAAGCAAGAATATTGGGATAGTGTTTTTGAAGGTGGAATGTACTGAGGGGGATTAATGGTAATGTTTCTTTTACTGTAATAAAATTTTTAAAACTTAGAAGTTCTAAGCAGTGTTTAAGCACCTTCCCATTGGTTTTGATATACAGTATTTCATTATCACTGTTTAAAGTACTTTCTTCTTTGAACCATGATTCATTTAGAATGTAATTGTCCCTTTCTTAATATAATGACAATGCCTGGGCATCTTTATTATTAACCTCTAATTTAATTGCATGGTAAGTGAATGACTCCGTATGATTTCCAACCTTTAAGTACAGACATTTTCATGAATATATCTGATAATTCAATATGGCAAGTCTATGTGGTTCTTTCTGATGGTTTTCACTTATCCTTTTTCTATATACCTGATTATCTTTGATTGCTTGCTGAATATTGCCTGTAATGTTTTATAATACCTGAGTTACACTGAAGAGTCCCCCTATGTTTCCGTCAGGTCTCAAGTTGTGTTTACCTAGACCCAACTAAAGGCTAGTCCATGACCACTTGTCATGGATTCTTTCTTTTATTGTTCTGCTAATGGACATGGCCACTATCTCTACATTTGAGGAAGGGGGTTGGTGTTTAGGACTGACTTCATCCTGGGAACCCAGCCTAATGTCTACAGGAAAAGATACATCATTTTCACCTGTATTTGAACTCCACTCATCCAGTGAGTGGAGTATATAGCAAAAGCTGTGTTAGTATTCACCTTTAAGTATCCCATTTTAAAACTGTCATGCACTGTCTTTTCAGCCTGAGGGAGAAGTAGGTTGTTGTGTTCTAAATGTTTGCTTCCCCCTCTTTCTTCTTGAAACTTAATCACCAATGTGATGGTATGAGTTGGCTTCTTTGGAAGGGATTAAGTTATGAGGATGGAGCATTCATGAATGGAACTAGTGCCCTTATAAAGGAGGTCCAAGACTCTTCCACAATGTAAGAATATAGTGAGAAGGTCCTATCTATGAACCATGAGTGGCCTCTCACCAGGCAAGAAAACAGAGGGCACTTGAAATCTGTCAGACTCTAGAACTATGACAAATCTGTTGTTGATACGCTACCCAATTTATATTTTGTTACAGCTGCCTAAATGGACTAAGACAGAGGGCATACTACCTATCTTTTAAAATAGCAGTCTTTTTCATTGTTTTGGATGGGAAATTAACCAAAATAACCTAGCCTACTTTTACAGAAACTAATGTTTCACTTTTTTTAATTCCAGATTTTAAAATTTATGTATTTTATTCTTATCCTTTACTTGCCTACAAGTTTCTATGCATATTTGACTATAAAATCTAAACATCTTGGCCATTCTCCCAAATAGAAGCACTCTTTCCATTTTTATGTAGATCTCCCAGCTTCCAATTTACCTATCATCCAACATTTAAATTCTTTCTGTGAATTAGAAACTTTGACAATTTTTTTCTGTGAATTAGAAGCTTTGATGATGTGGGCTATTTAGACTTACAGTCCACTGCTGACTTACCACCTTTTTTCTTTGTACAGTTCTACCCATCTTGTTTCTAATGCTTCAGTATCTTTTTAGGGGTACAGTATACCTTGTTTATACAATACTCCAATTTCTGCTCATTGTACTATACACTACTGTACTTTTATGTTGTTATACATGTAAGAGTTATGTGAATAAAAGCAGACATCAATTTGGGGTTCTTTGACCATTTCTTTGTTCTGAATATTGTAATGTGTATACTACATGCAATTCCTTATTTAGCGACCAATTCATTATCCAGTGAGGACCGGAGCCCAGTTATTAAATGAGGACCATCTGTACTAGGGGCATGTCTCCAGCATTTAGTACACTGGGGTGCTTTTAATCCCTATTTGAAAGGTGTAAATCTGTTAATGTGTCTTCCCCTCAACGGGCAAAGCATTAGGTACAGCTGGAGCTCAAGTATGGGCATAGACACGCCTAAAAGAAGGGAAAGGGCATTTGGCCATAGGCATATTGGCTGCTCTAGACATCGGGCACGTGGAAACCTTAGGAAATATGATTATTTAACGAAAGCCAGAGCTGGTCTCAATTTGAGCAAATGGAAGACCAATCTGTACCTCAACTACTGGGAATGGGTATTCTGCAGCTTCTTCCTTACTACCCACCAGAGAAACTGTTTTTGATCAAGTCATTCTATTTCTAATTTCTCTTTCAAAACACAATTCAATGTCCCTGATACCCATATCCTTCCTGGTTGGCTATGGTCACTTTCCTTTGAACACCTACAGAGGTCAGTTCATATATTAGGGCAATTTTGCTTGTCATTTTTCTTCCTTATTTAACTACCAAGTATTACTGCTTTCATCCTGTCCCTGTGCAGTGCCTAGGACAATGGATTGTGCCTGGCAGATTCTCAACATTTGCTGAATACATTTAACCAAGTGTATGGGCAGGGTCATTTATATGCAGACCCATGTTATAACCATGTTATATGCAGAGGTGAACACATAGCAAAAGTGGTCATGATCTCCCCAAGTGGAATTGGATGGCAGAAATACTTTGTCTTGCCCTTTGCTCATCTCATCCACCAAAGCCTATGGGGTAGGGGTGGAGATAAAGTACTTGCTAGTATATTCTCTTGCAAACAGATTCTGAAGCCAGAAACCAGAGAATTCAGCCTCATTCACATTAGCCTTGGACAAGTTACTTACAAGAGTCTACTTGAAGCATTTTGGTTACCTAGACAGCACTTCTATAGTTAACAATATTTTGTGCTAAATTCTGTTCCTCAGAAATTATTTCTTGTGACCAAGCCTTCATACGATCTGCCCACTCTCTCAGGTTAGGACTCACGCCCATTAAGACTATCACAGTACTTACCTGTGGTCCCCACAGAATACATCTGTGGTTCTACTGGAGACAGACATTATCCAGCTTTTGGTTAAACCTGTTATACTACCCCTGTGAGATAAGCTTCCTGCTACCTTCTCTGGTATAAATCTGGTATAAATTACTCCACAGAGATGTGGTACACAAATTGCTCTGTAGAATGCTCCATCTAAAGGAAGTCACAGCCTGTTTACATTTGAAGAATTTCTTTATTGGATTTGCACCTTACCTTACCATAACTATCTGGCCTTCATGACAAAGACTGAGCCCTGAACAAAGTATTCATACTTTACAAGTGACAATATACAGTACACATATGGTACATGAAATCTTTACAATGAATTTCAAAACAAACACTTAACAGGAGTATAAAGAACCATAGATTTTTTATTCTCTCTCAATTACTGGTAGCTATTAGCATTTTAGCTCTTGTAATAAAATGCCCTCCTTCCCAACATTCCCACTCACAGGAATCCCTGAATCAATTCTATAAGGTGCAAATTCACATTGAAGATGTGTTCTGTTAACTATTACAGGTACCAAAATCCATTCCATGATAGACCAGTTTACTGTAACAACCTAAGTTTTCATTTATCACATTCATTATTCATTGGAGTTCATTTGAAACTTTAAAAAACTGTCACTCACTCAACTAGAGTATTAGCATAGTAAATTCAATTTGCATTTCTAGAGTGACTCCTACTTCAAGTTAAGACTTATTACAGTTTTTTTTTTCCTATAAAGAAATCCAAATTTTGTTTCAGAAGTGGTCATCTACCTCCCCCAAACCATTCAATTATTTTATGTAATTCATAATCACTAATACATTTCTATTCCCTGAAGCCTATCTCTCCCTAAATTTGCCTGTTGCCTTGAGGCCCTTCTTAGATTTTTCTTCCTTTTTACTGTCCAAGATACAATAGGGATTAAAAGCTATGCCTGAATTACCTACATTTCTACTCACAAAATTTACTCAAGTAGTTTATATGGTGATATGATTTCTAATTAGAGCCCTTTTGTCATCTACATATTTTAGGTTCAAAAATATCTGCTTAATTTTTAGAATTTCAAAAATATGCCATCACTTTGATACTTTAAATTCCCAGTGTGGACTATTTTATATTCCAAAAGGGCTCAACTATCTTGAAACTGGAGCCTTCTTTGCTGACTGTGTGAAAATCACAGAAATGGTTACTTATGGTTATGTAGAATGGTTTCATTTATACTATGAAAATTACAAGCTGTGAATATAGATCTCAAAAATTCTTACATTCATGTGGTTTCTCTTCCATATGAGTTCTTTGAGACTTGGAAAGCTCTGCCTCCCATAGCGGCATCTTCATCCTGGTCCCACCCAAAGCAATCCCTCCCTCGTAGATCCTCATCTGGGATGTACTACACTGACTCTCCACATTTATCACATTTAAAGATTCTTCTCCAGGATGGATTCTTCTATGCTTGGTGAGATTTGACCTGATATTAAACGCTTTCCCACACTCATTACAACGGTATGGCTTCTTCCCAGTGTGGATCCTCTTGTGCTGATCAAGGACCGACCTATAATTGAAGGACTTTCCACACTCACAATTATAGGGCTGCTTCCCATTGTGAACACTTTTATGGTTGATAAGACTTGAGTGTGAGATGTATGCCTTCCCACACTCATCACATCCATAGGGCTTTTCACCTGTGTGGATCCTTTTATGCACTGTGAGGCCCGAGCTGTTCCTAAATGCCTTCCCACATCTATCACATACATAGGGTTTCTCCCCTGTATGGATCCTCTTGTGCTGAGAAAGGAGAGAGCTGTAACTGAAAGATTTTCCACACTCAACACACTTGAAGGGTTTCTCCCCAAGATGGACTCTTTTATGGCTTATAAGAGTTCTGCTTGAGAAAAAAGCCTTACCACATTCATCACATGTATAGGGTGTCTTGCCAGGGTGGGTACTTTTATGGTTAATAAGGCTTGAGTGTGAGATGTAGGCTTTTCCACACACATCACATTTATAGGGCTTCTCCCCGGTATGTATCCTTTTATGAACCTTAAGGCTTGAGTTGTTTCTGAAGACCTTTTCACATCTATCACATTCATAGGGTTTCTCTCTAGTGTGTACCCTTTTGTGTTGAGAAAGAAGTGAAGTGTAATTAAAAGATTTCTCACACACATCACATTTGTAGGGCTTCTCTCCAAGATGAGTTTTTTTGTGATTTATAAGGGTTCGGTATGTGATGAAGGCTTTCTCACACTCATCACATTTAAAGGGCTTCTCCCCAGGGTGTACACTTTTATGATTTATAAGGCTTGACAGTGAGATATATGCTTTCCCACATTCTTCACATTTGTAAGGTCTCTCCCCAGTGTGGATTCGTTTATGTACTTTAAGGCCTGAATTGTTTCTGAAGGCTTTTCCACACTCATCACACCCAAAAGGTTTCTCCCTAGTATGAATCCTTTTATGCTGTTCAAGGGCAGAGCTGTAGTTGAAGGATTTCTCACAATAGCTACATTTATAGGGTTTTTCCCCTAGATGGATACCTTTGTGATTTTTAAGGCTAGAGCGTGAGATATAGGCTTTCCCACACACATCACACTTGTACGGTTTTTCCCCAGTATGAAGTCTCCGGTGGACTTTGAGGCCTGAATTGTTTCTGAAAGTTTTCCCACATACATCACATACATAAGGTCTCTCTCCAGTATGAATAGTTTTATGTTGAAGAAGGAGTGAGTTATAACTAAAGGATTTGCCACAGTCTTTACATTCATGGGCTTTCTTCCCTGGGTGAATGCTCTTATGGACTGCAAGGCCTGAGCTATAGCTGAATGCTTTGCCACAGACATCACACTTATAAGGTTTCTCTCCCGTGTGAATCCTTTTATGCACTATGAGGCCCGAACTGTTCCTGAAGGCCTTACCGCATTCATCACACTCGTAAGGTTTCTCTCCAGTGTGGATGACTTTATGCTGAATGAGAAGAGAACTATAATTGAAGGATTTCTCACACTCATCACATTTATATGGTTTATCTCCAAAGTGGATGCTTTTGTGGTTTAGAAGTGTCCTGCAAGTAATGAAGGCCTTCCCACACTCATCACATTCATAGGGCTTCTCACCTGTATGAATCCTTTTGTGGACCCTCAGACCAGAGCTATTACTAAAAGTTTTTCCACAGATGTCACATTCATAAGGTTTCTCCCCTGTGTGTATCCTCTTGTGGACTCGGAGACCAGAACTATTTCTGAAGGCCTTCCCACACTCACCACACTCATAGGGCTTTTCTCCAGTGTGGATCCTTTTATGCTGGTCCAGAACAGAGCTATAATTGAAGGATTTTCCACACTCATCACATTTACAGTTCTTCTCCCCAGAATGAGTGCTTTTGTGGTTTATAAGGCTGGAATAGGACATATAAGCCTTCCCACATTCATCACACTTGTACGGCTTCTCCCCAGTATGGATCCGCTTGTGGACTCGAAGGCTGGAGCTGCTCCTGAAAGTCCCTCCACACTCATCACACTCATAGCGTTTTTCCCCAGTGTGCATAATTTTATGTTGAACAAGACGGGAATTATATTTGAAGGACTTCCCACACTCATCACATTTATGTGAATTTTTAACAGCACTGGTTTTCTGCTGTAGAATGCTATAAGAGTTTCCATTAATATTCTCCACACAATTGTTTTGTTCATTGCTTTTCTGTTCTACAGGGACAGTTTGGTGGGTAACAGGCTTTGAGCTCAACTGTAAGCTTTTCTCAGAGGCCTCATCTTCCTGTTCTGTCTTTATATTTGCCATGTTCTTAGTTTTGCTAATCTTTTCTATGATGCCACTTAGGTCTTCCTTCATTCTTTTCCCCTTGGACTTTTCCAATGGATTCTCTACCTTGCTATCCCAATTACAAACTTCATCAATCTTTGATTCTTGCCTATAATCCTTGTGAAGACCTTCTGCTTTTGGCCACTTATATTCTGGATTTCCAACATAGTCATTCATTCCAATTGGTTCCTCATCCTCAGTGCTCGTCTTCAAATGTGACACTAAACCAAAAAAATGAAAATGGAACCTGTTCACTTCATTTAGAAAACATTAGAAGAATAATATCAAATTTCACTCATCCACTTGATAAATATTTATTAACCACATTACTGGGGATATAAAGGTAGATGTAAAACTTCTGCCCTTATGAAGCTAATGTTAAAACATTAGGACCATGAATTTTCAATGACCAAAGAATTTTTCTATTCTCGTATAACAGCTGAGCATGAGGGCAAGCTGAAATGGGTTACATAATGCCTGGAACCATAGATAACACTAAGCAGTTATTGAACAATGTGACCTACTCAGAAAAATAAAGAGAAGGTAGAAGAAATCTCTGAAGAACAGGAGACAGAAAGATTACTAGTAAGACAAAAGTGAGGTATAACTTTTTATTATGTAAAATTATATATAAACAGCAAAAAAGTAGGCAAAAATAAGAGAAGAAATTAGCATGTGGCTAGAAATATTGGGGAGGTAGTTGTGGTTATGCAATCATGTGGACATTCACTGCTGAAACAAGAAAGAAAGCAACCTGCAACTGCCTGGAATTGGAATGGTTTGGTCTCCTGGACTTTCCCTCCAGGTAATGCACTGACCATGGAAAAGTACATATTGTAGCTAGGAAAGAGACTACACAGAACATGCTCCAAATGCCAGGAAACAAAGCTTTCATTCTCACTTATGAAGAGACTAACCACAGAGCATATCCAAGACAGACCATTAAGCAATGGAAGTACAGTTGGCTCACTGTATCTATAGATTCTGCATCCATAAAAGCAGCCAATCATGGATTAAAAATATTCAGAAAAACAAAATTCCACCTGTACTCAACATGTACAGATTTTTTCTTTGTCATTATGCCCTAAAAAATATAGTATAACAAAGATTTACACAGCATTTATACTGCCCAGGCTGAAATTCTCTGATCCCTTGAAGATACTTGACACGTGACTGACACTCCATCATCATTCCTCCGCTAACAAACTGGCTCCTGAGACCAAAAAAAAAAAACAAAAAAAAAACAAAAAACTGTTCTAAGTTAGCTATCCTCAACCTTAGACAATGAAATATTTTTGAGTACACTTATTTAAAATATTGATCTTCTCTTACCCTGGCTATCAGATGCTCTGGATCAGTACTCTGAAATTCTGTTAATCTGATTTTAAAAAATTGTATATGCAAACATGTGAGCAAGAAACAGGCAAGTAAAAATGAATAATAATACATACCTGCTGTAGATGTATTTTTAAAAAACACACAAAGTGATCCAACTTACGTTTATGGGAATGATTACTCCAAATTAAAATTACAATGCAGGAAAAGAAGCTACAGCTTAGGAAACTGCCAGGAAGATCAAATAATCACTAAGTAGATATTAAGGTGACTACCAAAAAAACTGGTTCATCTGAGACACTATCACAAAATGACTTAAATAATTATTATATAATACTAAAAAATTATCAGAGATCACTGAAGAATGGTAGCAGGCTTACCTCCCTTTATTACTTTGGGCAGAGTCCACGGAAATGACAGCTTCTGTGTAGACAGTGGAACTCTAGGACTACAGCAGCAACACACTGATATAAAAGGTAAATGTAGCTGGTTGTGGTGGCACATGCCTATAATCCCAGTACACAAGAGGCTGAGACAGGACAATCACCATGAGTTGAAGCCATCTGGGGCTATAGAGTGAGCCCATGGCCAGCCTGGCTATACACCAATTTGCTATCTCCAAACAAAAATAAATAAAATAAAATAAAATAAAATAGATAGAAGGAAATGAAAGGTGAATGTGTTCAGAATGCTGTTCCCACACACATTAGAGCCCTGCTCCATCCATTTCTTTTTCTGTCTTGGCCCCTCTATGTCCACTAACCTTGGACCCTCAGGACAGAAAAATACTTAAGTTTCTATAGTTGTAAGACCAATCTTTTAAAATAAACACACATAAATTGCTATGAAAAAAAAGCAAAGAAAGAGCTGAGAGGATATTAGCTATAATAGATATGAAAACATAGTAAAAAGACTCTAAATAAAACAGTGTGGTAGTAATATATACACAGACATGAAATAGAAAGTTCAACAACTGTCCCCACTACCCACAGAAACAAATGATAATGATGGTGTTTCACACTATTGGGGGAAAAGCCAATCTTTATTTAATAGTGTTGCAACTACTAAAAGCTAAACAGAAAAAGATAACATTACATCCATTCTTTACACCATACACAGAAATAAACTTCAAGTGGAACAGGGCTCTAAATACTAAAAAAAAAAAAAAAAAAAAAGTTATACAAGTACTCAAAAAATGCAGGTAAATACCTCCATGGTCTGGGTATACAGAAAGCTTTCTAACTAAAATCAGATGCAATAAAAGACTAATGTTTAAGTACACTATGTAAAAATAAAATTTTATGGTAAAAATATCAGAAACAAAGTCAACAAATAAATGACAAAATGGAAAAAGTATTTACATCATGCATTCTGATATATATTCTTGATATGTAAATAAATAAAGGGCCAATATTCTTAGTATATAAAGAATTTTCAAAATGCACAGGGTGGCACACATCCGTAATCCCAGTACTCTAAGAACCTGAGGCAAGAGGATCCTAAGTCCAAACCTTGGCTGGGTAACTTAAAGAAGTTCTGTCTCAAATTTTTTTTTTTTTTTAAAGAGCTGGAGATGTAGCTAGGTGTTAAAGACCTGAGTTCAATCCCAGTATTGTAATATACATACATACATACATATAAGAATTTTCAAACACTGAAGGGAAATAAGACTAAACATCCAACTGAAAAACAAGCAAAAGATATGAACAAAAATATTAAACATGCAAAGACATTCAACTTCACTAATGAGAAATATAAAGTATAAGATACCATTTCCCATTTGTCACCTTGGCAAATATTCAAAACTTGACAGTAGTGGAGGCTGTGGCGGAAACAAGTATTCTGATATATTGTTGGGAATGGAAATTCGCATAGCCCCCTTATGGTAGAGAATTTCCTGATATCTAACAAAACTATATTTTTTTCCCTTCAATCCTGAAGTCTTATTTCTTATACTTAAGATATACTTCCAACAATACACAAAGTTTATACTTAAGGTATACTTCCAACAATACACAAAGATATCATTGTAGCACTATTCATAACTGCAAAATCTGGAAAACTACCTAAATGCCCAAGCATAGCAGACAAGTTAAATAAACTAAGGCACATATACAAAATAGAGTACTATGCTAATTTTGTATAAGAAAGAAAAGAAATAGTCCTATCTATAAAGTAGCCCCTTAAAAGGGATGGGGTAGAGAAAGAGCAGAAGGGAGAAAAAACACTATAGTTTTTTGTACTGCTTTTTACTTGTGGATGATATTTTGCATATTCAAAGAGCAAGATTAAATCAGTAAGAATAAACAAGAGAAAACTGGTAAAACAGGAAAGAAGTAGAAACAAATGAACTCACGTGGGTTTCATATGGCTACACAAACCACAGGACCAGAAAAAAATAAATAGGAGCAAGGAAACAATCCTTGTATTTTAGAAACATACTTCATTGTGTGTGTGTGTGTGTGTGTGTGTGTGTGTGTGTGTGTATTTATTTATTTATTTATTCATTCATTCATTTATTTTCAGGCTTGGGAAAGTTGGGAGGGTGTAAGAAGAATTACAAATAAAAAATATTTTTAACAGGTTTCTTTTCCCTAGTAGTACAGGCAAAGAAAGTAATTCCGAAAGATTTATTATTTAGGAGTCTCCTGAATGAAGAAATACATAAAAATTCAAACTACTGTAGTAAAAGACAAGAAAGAACCTTACAGAGATGAATTGGAGAATTTTTGTGAACTCATCATTTCTACATTATATATGTATGTATGTACATTTATATGAAAGTATACATATTCACTTTTATGTATAGTATGTATGTGTATATATATTTCTTAGCTCAGTTTGCTAAAAAGTCAAAATCAAAAGTATCCCAGTGGTAATGAGCATATCAACAGCCTATTCTAGTTTTCTATTACTATTCTCTGATAAAAGGTTCCAAAATCCTTATAAAAATGTCTGATTCTAGGTTGGAATCAGGATATGCATAAGATGACCTGGGGCATCTTGTTACACTAGCAAGTAAAGAAGGGTTCAAGAATATTATGGGGAATGTTACAAAACTTGAGCACCCAATTTAGTTACCAAAGATAACATAGTAATGGATTATAAACTACTAAAAATAGGATTTCAGTAAGACCATACAGATCAAAATATGACTGCTGGTTGCTAAATGTAGAAAAAAATGATAAAATTGGAAAAAACAGCATTCTGCAACTATCAGAGTAAAGACTGAGATGCACTGTATGTAAGTTTTCTCAAATCCATTTAGGAAAAAAAAAACTTGGGTATATAAGACCAAGAGGACAAAATGAAGTAAAACAAGTGAATTTGAATTAACAGTATCTTTTTACCATTCTTATTATTGAAATTTTTCTGTATATTTGAAATTATTTTCAGATAAAGTTTTTAAGATGTCAAAAAGTAAATTACAACCACACCAACTTTATCTTTCCCTCTAAGTACTACTTTCACCATATTGCTTCCTGCTCTTAAAAATATGAACTTCATGCCCCATTTCCCCTCAAACTTCTGATTCTGATTCTCAATCTGACTTCTTCCACTTAGACCACACTGCATTAGCTTCTTTAAGCTGCATTAGCTTGCTTGTACCCTAAACTGTTGCCCCTTGGACATTCCTCGCCCCCTCATTCTATCTTGAGCCTTTCCGCTTGATTCTAACTACTGAGATACTTCCCCTTTTGTCGCCTTGCGGATATACAAGGCTCCTACCACTTTTACAAGCTCTTACAAATTTATCTCTAGCCTAGAGCCTCTCTTCAATTATAGACACTTATATCTACCCCTGCCCTCCCCTTTGTCTAAATCAAAAATGGGCTCTTCTCCCTGCATTTCCCTCAGTAATGTCCAAAACTGCCATAAGACTAATTGACTCTATTGTCCAAATAGTCCCACATCTACCTCTACCTCTGCCTTGCTGCTAAAGCCTTAGTGTAAGCATTCTTTTCAACTACTGTGATTGTCTTTCCCTGCACAATTCTTACTCTAATAGTTGTTAGAAGTTTTGTAAACTCTACACTTCACCACTCCCTACTAGGGTTTGAATATCTCCTCCACAACTCAACTCATGTTGAAATTTTAATGGCCATTTAACAGTATTAAGGAGTCAAGAGTTAGCTTCACTCCTACCCTTCAAGCTGGCCTTTAACACTTGGGCTCAAGGGATCTTCTGGTCTCAGCCGTCTGGCTGAGACTATAGGAACATACCACCATGCCTGGCAGAAATACAACCTTTAAGAGGTGAGAGAGCTATGAAGGCTCTGCCTTTATGTAGTAAATATATTAATGCTATGAAAATGGAAGGGGGTCCCTTATTTAAAAAGAAAAAAACAAAACAAAAAAAACAGTTCAGCCTCACTTTGCCTCCCTTCTCTTCTGCCTTATGCTGCCTTCCACTGCACGGGCACACAACAAGGAACACCCTCCTTACCATATGCCACTGTGAGAAGTAAAGTTCTGTTCATTATAAAACTTAACCAGTTTGTTGTACTTTATTAGAGCAACACAGAACACACACACTTCTCAAAGCCACGCCTTCTACATCCAGACATGTGAAATAATTCCTCAGACAGGCAGTGGGCCATTCTAACTCACTCATCACTACAACAGCAATCAATAATTCTAGGTCTGCTGTTTCCTTCAACTGACAGCGTATTTTCTTAGTTCCCTCCATGTCCTTTGGGGTTGGTTGTCTGGCTATAGACTGACCTCATCTTCATCAAATGACAAATAAGTCACTGCTTACTTCTCTAACTTAGAGGCTCTACTTAATCTCTTCTGTTTGGATAGATGCACAGTGTTATCACTTGGTGTAATTCAGTTGATCCTCTAATTGAATGAAATCAAAACAGATCACTATAAATGTACAAATTAATTGGAAATAGATAGCTTAAAATGAAATTTGAATTAATAAATTCCAACACTTAAGAAAAGGCCAATCAGAACACAGGCGTGGTGGTACATGCTTGCAATCCCAATTACTCAGAAGGCTGAAGCAGGAGAGGATCACAAGTTTGAGGTCAGTCTAGGCAACAGAACAAGCTGGTCTCAAAATAAAAAAAGCAGAAAGTACTCACAATGTATAGCACTTGTCTAGCAAGAAGGAGGCCATGTGTTCAATACCTGTACTACCAACAAACAAAAATACAGGCAGAACACTAAGATAGCACTACAGTAAAATGCTGCTAATATACAGAGGCAAACAAGAGAAGTACTTATTCTTATAATACTGAAGATGCATTCTAGTATCTCAGTTATCACTGATGTTGAGTGTTGTACAAGGAGCGTAAATTATGATCCATATCTTGCTTTTTATTCCAGGCCCTGGGCTAGTCCTGGGAATGAACACAGACAGTAAGAGAACGCCCTGGGCTAGTCCTGGGAATGAACAGAGACAGTAAGAGAAGGCCCACAGACTAGGAGTATTTGACAGAGGTAAATACAAGCACAGATGGGGGAGAAGGGGAGGGGTCAGACTCTGCCCTGAAGAATGAAGAGTTTCATGAAGGAGAGGGCATTCCCAGGAAAGGAAAGAGCAGGCACAAAGCAACTGATACTCACCACCCTCCAGACATTTAGAGTATAGGGCAGTGGGCAAAGCTTAACAGGTAAACAAAAATAAGGGCTAAACCAAGGGCTGACTCACACGAAAGAGTCCAGACTTGACCCTCAGGAATTTTAGACAAAGGAGTACCAAATATAAATTTTGGGAAATCATTTGTTTTATTAAATCAGGGGCTGTTATCATTTTCTGCAAAGAGCTGGACAACAAACAGTAAAAGTTTTATGGGCGTTGCTTATTACTACTATCTTTTTTTAAAAGTATAGAAACCATTCTTAGCTTATGGGCCATACAAAAACAGAGTACAAGTTTGCCATCCTCTGTTAGATAACACCAGGGAATCAAAGTTAATTTAAGATGGGATAAAGGTATTGTAGCTATTATGTGTCCTTTTTTTAAATGCCAATTGAAGTATGCTAGGTAAAATGCCATGGTGCCTGGAAGTTTCTTAAAGATATCTCAACCAAGAAAAAATAAAAAGGTAAAGATGAAACAAATATAGTAGATTCCTAAAACTACTGAATCTGAGTGATGGTTTTATGGGAGTTCATTGTAATACTCTACTCTCCTGTGTGTGTTTTTTCATTAAGAAAAAATATTTGAAAAAGAATGATCATTTGTACTGCAGTAGGAGAATGGACTGAGAGGAGAAAGAACCAAGACCTGGAGTTCCAGGAGGCTGCTATAAGCCCATCAAGACTTGTGGTAGCTGTCATGTCTCCTGCTTGACACAAGAAAGGAATTACTCCAATTACAACTCGTCCAGAGACAGCAAGAAAGGACTGAATTTTTTAAAAGTTCTAAAGGCTAAATGGGAAATCTCACTCTAGCCAATTTTTAACCAACAGGAAGCATAACAGTACCCTGCTCAATCACATCAGTCGAAAGTCAGCCAGAGAATGTTCTCCCTTCCTTACAAATTACATATGACCCATACATTTGCTCATTTCTGTGCTTGTTCACATCGTCATCCGTGCCTACAAAAGTTC